CTCAAGATCATAGAATCATAGAATTCTTAAGGTTGGAAGGGACCTCTAGAGATCATCTAGTCCAACCCCCTGCACACACAGGGTCACCTAGAGCACGTGGCACAGGACTGTGTCCAAGCGGGTTTTGAAGATCTCCAGAGAAGGAGACTCCACAACCTCTCTGGACAGCCTGTTCCAGGGCTCTGTCACCCTCACTATAAGAAATTTTTCCTTAAGTTCCTGTGGAACTTTTGGTGTTTCAGTTTCCGGACGTTTCCTCTAGCTCTGTCAGTGCCCACCACTGAAAAGCGGTCAGCACCATCCTCCTCACTGCCTCCCTTGAGGTACTTCTAGACACTGCTCAGGTCCCCTCTCAGCCTTCTCTTCTCCAGGCTGAACAGGCCCAGCTCCCTCAGACTCTCCTCATAGGGCAGATGTTCCAGGCCCCTGATCATCCTCGTAGCCCTGCGCTGGCCTCTCTCCAGCAGCTCCACATCCCTCTTGCCCTGTCCATTGTGTATGGACACAATACTCCAGATGCGGAAATTTCATGCTCAGCTTTCACGCTCAGCTTTCATTTTATGACAGGAAGAACAGACAAGAAAGAAATTATAAATCCTTTTATAAGGACACAGCTTAGGATAAAATTTTTACTCACTACAGCCATCTCCACAACAAGAATCAGGAATCTCAAGTCATTTCAGATCAGATCGTGATTCCTTGCCCTGTCAGCGGAGAAATGTCACCAGTTACAGACACAACATCTCCTACCAAGGGACGGGACCTGCTCATCTCGCTGGCATCACCCAGCTCTGGCCCCTCAGAGAAGTCTGGATCTTACATAAAACACAAGGCCTCGAACCTGTACCCACGCAGGCTCCTGCAGGCCCACACCGGGATGCGTCTGTAACGGCAACACTTCCACCTGCCTCACACGCCACCTTTCCAGGGGTGTCATTTCCCCCTTTCCACAATTTCAGTTCTTTTTTCCCGTCCTCGGTTTTCAACATTTCCTCATGCTCTCAGGTTGGAAAATAAGTGATAAATTAACATTTTCATGTTATTGTTTCTTTTTATTCCTTCTCCCTCCGAGGAGTCCTTGGAAAGCCCCATGCATGCAACTCTTCATGGGAGTGAGCAGCTCTGTTCAACAGAGCAGCATTAGCAGCACTGGCTGCTAATGGGGCTGGAGGAGCTTTCAGGACCTCCGGGGTAGCTATATCCTATTTATGTGAGCAGTCGGTGCTGACCTCTGCTCCTTGCTACATAAACCAGCATTTTCAGGTCTATAAAACTACCACAAGAATCTCTTAACTGGTATTTAAGCGCATTGCCACCATGTTGGTTTACACCTGCTTTTGAAAAAGATAAGGAATTCAGCGTGGTCCAATCCCAAAACACAAACCTTGATTCACCTTTTGACATCAAGTGCACTGTACTGATCTCAGCAGGGCGTTCAACTTGAAAAATCAATTGTACCTTAGTAAGCAAAACTTTCCTTTTGCTTTAAAACATAAAAGGCTACTACCACTACAGTTTTGCTCCATTAGGATTCAGTCGTGTTAGTAAAAAAAAACAAGTGGGATCTAGACAGAAATTATACAAGTTTTCATAACAATATCTTGAGCAAAAAACAGAACTGAAGCAACAACACTAGAAACGCATTGAACTTTCCCCAAACATCAGCTCAAATGCTGAATCCATCCTGGCTAAGAACTTAGGCTTCTTCTATTTACGTCCTTACCACGTGTCCTTCAGAGGGGACCTGAACACCTTGGTAACTCTCAGTTAATAAGAGCCTCTCATCCTTCCACTTGCTTTTATTTCAGTCCCTCTTTCGCAGGGCAGTGTCCCGAGCTGAGGGACAGCTCTGGTGGTGCAGGACAGCCCTGGGGGGGACCCAAGGGGGACCCAAGGGGGACCCAAGGGCTGCCAGGCCCTGGCCCCAGCACCACAGCCAGCAGCAGGCACTGCCGGTGACACATGTTCACACAAAAATCAAAGCTCCTCCTTGATGCTTTTCTTCTGAACTTCAAGTTTTATCTTTTTCCTCCACCCAAGCCAATGGAAAATAATTCCTGTTGTCCTGGATGGGGCCAGTGGAGCCTTTGTGCATCTAACCCCCCATTGCAGGACATGGAAACTCCCCGCTGGTAACACTGTCAGCACCGCAGCCTCTGCTCCTGCTCTGCTTTTTAAAAAAGGAAAATGAAATCCAGTTACTCAGGAAGACGACCTGCTGCATGTATAAATGCTGTTAAAGAGCTTACCAGAGAAGGTATTAATTCTGACCCACCAACACTAACTAGATCACTCAGAACTTAAAAAGAAGTCAGCTTTGGTTCGCCCTACAGTCTCCGGCAGATTTCAGGAGTCAAACCGGCTCATTTCAGGTGTCACTGCCCTGAACATCACACCAGTCCAAGTGTCTAAAAGAAAATGAAGTAACTGGAAGCAATTTTCTCATTTTCCCTCTCTTATTTTCGAAGTATGACACTTGCTAGAGCTTTGCGCCTGGAATCGATGCTTCCGTGTTGTTGCTTGGGACCTCTGATTTTATGTTTGATACTCTACAGAGAAGTGTGAAGTCAAGGCCAGGGGGAGAAAAAAGCTAAAATAACCAACAGAATGGGACTGGTCCCAAGATGTGGAATGAATATTACCCCTCAGCCAGCCATATTAATGGCATTTTTATCTTCAACACATTGCTTGCATTGAGTGCTGACACCCTCCTTAAGCATTCCTTAAGAGAGCAAAGCAGCTCCTGAAGTGGGGCCTGTTTTGCAGCCCTAGTTGACCTTGGTTTCAGGCATTTGCATCTTACTGATACTGGGATGCCCCATTCCTTCTTTATAAGTTTCATTCAGCACTGAGGCCCCTCGGTGCTGTGTATATTATGCAACACTAGAATACTATACAATGCTGCGTTGCATTATATGCTTTTATATGCAGTGCATAGAGCTCCACCAGGAAAAAAAATCCTGAAATACCATAGCTAAGAAACATTAGTATTCTGAGAGCTGTTATACTCTAAAATAGGGCAAAGTTAAATATTTATTTTCTAGCTATTGATATACTGTGAGACTACTGTAAGAGTGCCTGGCTGTTAAGAAGGCAGCTCCTTCCTTCCTTCCTTCCTTCCTTCCTTCCTTCCTTCCTTCCTTCCTTCCTTCCTTCCTTCCTTCCTTTTCCTTCCTACCTTCCTTTTCCTTCCTTCCTTCCTTTTCCTTCCTTCCTTCCTTTTCCTTCCTTCCTTCCTTTTCCTTCCTTCCTTCCTTTTCCTTCCTTCCTTTCCCTTCCTTCCTTCCTTTTCCTTCCTTCCTTTTCCTTCCTTCCTTCCTTTTCCTTCCTTCCACCTCTGGGGCAGCCACCTGCACTCAGCTCCCCCTTCTCTCTACTCTTGGTAGAGAGTCTTCAATTAAAACTAAAGGGCTTCCCAGGGAAGCAGACTATTTTTCCACATTTATTCTGACATGACATTCTGCCTCCAGAAATTATCCGACCTCAAAATCAGATCAACATGTGAAAATTTTATTTCTGAAGCCTGGTAAAACTTCCAAGCTACCATTTTTCTTCCTTGAGAAGCCTGTTCAACTGAATCATGGTATTAACAGCCACAGAATTAATCAAGCTTATACTTCACATGTAGTGATATATAAAAAATGATAGGAAAACTATTCATTCTCTAGAGAGATATTTTCTTCTTCAAGTCATTTCCTGTAAAGCATAATGGCAAACAATGTGCAGAATACAAATTCGTGTGTTGAAAAAAAATCATTTTTTTCTGTTTGTGTGTTTTAACTTCGAGATAAAATTCATAATTCACTTGTGGGTTTGAGAAACACAATCACTTGAAATGCATGCAAAGAAAAAGATTGCCACCAAAAGAGCACGTATTTTTACATATCGCTACCCTCAATACCACACAGTATCAGGTCCTATTGATCTTCTGAGATAAAGACACATTTTGAAATATGATTTCCTATATGCTTGTGAACTGGCATCTTTCAGCTAAGGTCGCCACTGACTCAAGGAGTTACCCCTTACTTTTTTAATACTTTATATCTTTTTAAAGCTAAAAAAAGGTTTAGGGTTCATCATCAATACCCATTTTTATGCTTCTATTCTTAATAGTCCCAACCTTATAATCAAAAGGTTTGCAATATAGGAAGGACATAAAATCTGTATCATGACATGAGCTACTGTCAGTTTGAAGCCATTCAGAAATTTCCCTTGAAAAAGTTGCGAAAAAAAGGAACAAAGCGAGAAATGTATTAATCAGAAAATATCTGCTAGTTAGAAAAGAAAATTGTAAATGTTATTCTGCAGAAAATATGATGTCAACTACAGTCAGTAAAATTAAAACATTGGCAATACAACAGATAACTAATTCTAAAACACTGCCAGGCTTTTTATCCTATCCAAGGCTAGTTGATGCACTTGATTGTCTCTTCCTCAACTATCTTTTAGCTCTATTAAAGGGCAAAAATATTGGTATTCCTGTCTTTGTGGAGCCAATAGGAAGAGGTTTCATTCAACTGAAGACAGAATGAAATCATAAGCATCCTGGCAGCTTTTAGGTCATCATATTAAAACTTGCTGAAACTCAATTGTAGCTAGTTAATGAAGGAAGTCTTTTTTCAACACTATGAGGATCAAAGATACAATACAGTTAAGGGAAATATCCTCTGCCTGTGGTATTAAATGAAGAACAATAAATAGCTCAACCGATGCACCATTTTCTCCAAGGTGAAACACATTTTATAAGATATAGATCGTTTTATATGATTTCTAGGACATTAATGACAACCTAGCCTTTTAATTACGCTGATTGAATTTATTTAACAGGATGCCCTACAATGGAGGGCAGCCCTGCATTTTTCACTTGCTCTGAGGCGAGTTTCAGTAGTTAGCAAATAAGCCTGAGTCTAATCTGCTTCCGTCTGCAATCATTTGAAAAATGATGCTTGGCAGGCAGCTCTGCACAGCCTTGGCATCAGATGGAGACTTATTTCTCATACCAAGAGACGCTGAGGACTAAACAGGCTGAGAAGTGCATCTACATAATCTAAAGTGACAAACCAGCGCTTTTTACCATCGTGACACATGTTTGCAAACCCGGCAACTACTGCAGGGCAGGCTTGGGGAAAGCCGCTTTCCCTGCGCCGCTGCCCAAGGGATTGAGGGAAGGTTGTCGGGGGCCGCGGGCTGGATGCACCTCCTCCCGCAGGAGCCTTTCCCTGTTTGTCAAGTGGCCTCTGGGACACAGGGCAACTGTGAGAGTTGTGCCTCCAGGGCCACTTCCTCACTCCCTATATTCCTTAAGAATGGAAGGCTTCCTAGTACCTGGTATCAGGTGGGCCAGGATGCCAGGACCAACAACTATCTGACAAATAGCGACCGGCAGTCACACGGGAACCTCCGACTTCTTTGCATGGTGCAAGGAGGGATGACAAACGGTCACCTCCACGCGGCGTGGGCAGCGCAGCCTCGCTGGGGCTAACGCGCTTGCGGGTCCACGTCGGCCTCGAGAAACGACGCCGGGAAGTTCGGGGGGCTCCACGAAGGCGCTCGCGTGGGGTCTGCACCTGCCCCGCAAACCCGCCTGTCCCTCGAGAGCCCGCGGGGCCCCGCGGTGTTGGCGGCCGCTCTCCCCGCGCCC